CAACCCCTCCATTTCGGCGGGAAACATCAAAGGCTGAGTCTTTATAACTTTAACATTAGAACTTTTATTTTCTCCTACATCCACCAGCACATCTTCAAACATTAACTTCGGTTCCAACATCGGCAACAGGCCGTTCTCATCAACATTCAAACTCTGATCAATGTCCCAAGGGGTTAGTGGTGAGGTCTCCCATACTGTTCTTTGGGCGCCGGCTGAGGGTTTGGGAGACTCCTCACTGCAGAAATCGTCCCACAACATTGATGACGCATCCACCCTCTTTCATCTGGACCCTCTGGGATCGATGCTATGGCGTTTTTCCCTCACCCGCAGCAGTTCAGCTTCTCTTGGGGCCATGATCACATTCCATTCTCTAACAGTTATTCTCTGTGGTCTTTCTTGAGGATCAGGAGGATTGGGTAATAATCCGCCCACCTTCAGATTTGGAAAGTCTCTTACTAATCTTTGGAACCGGACTTTCCCAAATGCTTTGCGTCTTTCCTCCTTTTTCTTCTCCTCATAAGCCTTTACCCCAGAACTAAACCACATGACCCCCTCCTCATCCTTGTATTTCTCCCCAACTGTCACCTCTGAGTCCTCCCACTCCCCTTCATCCAGGCACACTTCTAACTTCCCTCCTCCTGTCAATTCCTTTCCCTTTTTCCCTTCACTTTCACTGCTAGCCCATGTTTCTCCTCTGCTGTCATTGTCTTCCCTTTTGACTTCTGCAGACGGCTCACTTCTAGTCTCTACTCCTTCACATTGTGTGCTGATCGTGTTTCTTCTGTAATCGAAGTTTCTTTTTAAGATTAAAAAGTAAATGCTAAATAGCCTGAGTAAAAGCGTTTTATCTCTTTAATGCATAAAGAGAACTTAGGTAGCTGGCAACTGTGGCAGCAGAGTTTTGTGCATCTGTGTAATAGTTGCATAGAAGCATATGATGTGTAAACTCAGTAAGGCTCACATATTGCTCTAGTGCTGCATCTGCTTTTTCACAATTACTCTCATTCAAAACTGCACAACAGAAAGGATGACTGAGCTTTTTTCACTGCAAGTAGTAAAACATATTATGCTACTACTAATATGCTGACTTTCTCCCTTCAGTGAAGTCACCATACAACAGGCTTGTCCACCCATGGTCACACCGATCTCTCTGCAAATATAATTTTTATAATACTTTATAATTCTATCCCAAGTACACCATGTTTCCTCTAGAACTATAACATCAAAAGATTTAATGTACATTCTAAGTGATAATTTGAGAATGCTTATTTTATTTTCATTATTTTATTGTTATGCTTTTCTGATTGTTAATATGTATTTATATGAGATGTCAACTACTTCTTTAAAGACTGGTTTACTTTTTGTTCATGTGTACAGCCTAGCTGGCTATGAAGCAATATAGTATCTGTATCTGTATATTATGCGTCTGTATTTTGAGGAATTTCCAGTGAGCCGTGAGTGGTGTAATTTTGTGCTGGTATTTCAAAGTAGGCTTAAATTGTAACAATGATGATTCAGTTCTAGAATCTGTGGCAAGTTAATGTTTTCAAACATTTATTAATCAACATATTTAACACATACAGAGATGTGTGGTGCAGTGCCGAGGCTAAAATAGGCTATGCAACATTAGATCACAATGTAACATGAATGTTATAAAAAAGATTTCTTTTGTACACTAAGAGCCTCATGGCGCAGTGGTTAAAACGCTGTATTGCAGCTAAAAACCGTGCTCACGACCTGGGGTTCAAATCCCAGGTAGCCGGCTCAAGGTTGACTCAGCCTTTCATCCTCCCGAGGTCGGTAAAATGAGTACCCAGCTTGCTGGGGGGGCAATGTGTAGCCTGTATAATTAAAAATTGTAAACCGCCCGGAGAGTGAGATCACAATGTAATGTGAATGTTATAAAAATGATTTCTTTTGTACACTGAAGTGGAAAATTCAGTGTGACTTTCTAGTACGTGTAGTTATAGAAACCTGGTTATTCATTGATAAAGGCAGACTGAAAAATATTGACTGCAGTCTACCTATCCTAGTATGAGAAATAGTATTTTTAACATTATTTTCAGTGAATATGTGGCTTGCCTTTTCAATAAAAATAACATTCAGAGAAGAGTAAAATGAAATGTAATAAAACTGCAACAGAACAAACCAGAAGCAACGCAAAAGAACTGCAGTAGATATACCTTGAAACAGCCAATAATATTCAGTTACTCTTAAAAGCATAAATGAATACAGCAGATTTAAAAGATTATATGCTTGGCTGGATAGCCCAGTTGAGGGTACAGTCACAGAGCAAGAAAAATGAAGCTGGAACCACTGTGAAGTCACACTCTGGAAGCTGAGTTTCCTTAGTCACCAAGGACTGAGCCTTAATTTTGGAGGTTTTCATAGCCTTCTGTATAGATTACTTAGACTAATGTTTCTATAGTCAGTGAAGCAGATCTGAAAAAACAAAACCAAACCTGGAGTTCTCAACCTAGGTTTGTATATCTGCGGATGATATTTTTAACAGCAGTATATAAAGATGAGAACTAATAGTCTTGATTAGCCCTGCTTTTCAATTCCGACCAAATTTGTTCCTGAAAATCTCTTCCCCAGCCCATGTGATATAATATTGAAAAGTTTTGCAAGACCTGTTGTAACTTCCAGGATTCAGAATCTTCAGCATGGCAAAGTCAAGGTCTTACTTCTCCCTCTGCAAGTGACACAAAGTTTTCAGTGAACAGAAGATTATTGAAAGTGAAATCAGCCAAGGCAAATAGATTGTGAAAAGTACTATATTTTATGTTACAGGAAGCAATAATAGATTTTTTAAAAAAAGGAAATCACCTTTTTTCTAGAGAGGAAAGGTAGGATATTAATTCATAAATTACTTAATTAACTAGTCTTTTGGGGTAGTGATGTAAATAATAGATTTGATTTAAATCTACCTAAACACCTAGATTATCTCGAGTTGGCCCCTCTGTATTAGCCTGATTTTCACAGGGTTCTTGGAGTACAAAGTGGGAGAAGATTGAAATCGCTGGAGGAAAAGTGGAATATGAATGCAATAAATGAGTGGTCTTATAGTCAGGTTTCAGATCTTCTGAATCCAAAAATAAAGGTTTTCAACTGTAGAGTTTCCTGGAGCTGGCTTCAAGTTTTGTAGCCATGACCTTGCCTCCTCCATATAAGAGGCCTCCATAGCTTGATGGTCTGGCTGCTAGTTTACTGCTTGAAAGGGGAAACGTATTTATTTCATAAATTAACCTGGTGTGTATGATGTATCAGGAAATGAAGTCTTGGAGGAAAAGGAGAACTTCATTTCCTGATAAAACTTCATCAGTAGCTCAGTACTATCTAATGTACCTCAATTGCTTAGCCACCATATGGGCATGGAAAATCCATTTGATTTGACTATGAGTTCCTCTTCATTTGTATCAGAAGCAAATATTATGAGAAGAAGGAAGAATAAACTAGACATTTTTGGTATTGTAGTGAATGTGCTTAAGCACTCCTGAGGGAGCATTTGGTTTTCAGCTTGGTTTCAGAACTATGACACAAGGAGGAAAAATATGTAAAAATAGAATTTCTCTTAAATAGGAGGATAGTACAGTATATTAATATGCATTCTTGGGTGGATCTTGGTGTCATGCTTTATTCTACTGAAGTGATATTTCCTGTGCTTGCTTCAGATAGTCTATTTGTGTATCAATATCCTGGGCGTGAATTTTTAACTTTTAGAAACTGCCATAAATTCTGAACGTATCTTTATTTCTTTCTAATCATTTGAAGTGACACATCTGATTTTAAGATCAGAATTATATATTCAAGGAAGATGAAAAAGAATATTTAAATTGTGACTCTAGCATCAGTAACAGCTCTATTCATTTTTATCATTGTAGCTAGTGCATTTTCTGACAACGTCCCAATTAGAGTAGAATCATATACAGTATATAGAATCATAGAGCAGGAAGAAATCACAAGAATTATTATTAATCCCCATTGATTCAATCATTCTACTCGAGTGTGATTTGTTTTGCAAAGGAACAGGACTTTGGCCATTGTGTCACTCACAGGGAATTCCTGTGCTTATATATTCTTACAAATATATAGGAAATTTCTCCCCCACTATCACTAAAAACTGGTGGCAAAAAATCGCAGCTATCACATGAGGACATCTCCAGAAGCCAGGGTGCATGACCAAATGTCATTATTTATTTATATGCACCAGCAACATAAATGGCTGCTTTACATGATCCACTTTTCCCCATTTTATTCCAAAAATCACCCTGTATGGTTGGTTTGGCAGAGAAGTATGGACTGGCCCAAGGATAGTAAGCAAACTCTGTGACTAAGGAAGGATGTAAAAGTGTGCTTCCCAGGTTTAGCATTATAACAGTTATACAGTGATTTGCCTCCATCAGGTGAGTGGTTGCTGTACAAATGATGCTGAACGCTATTTGTAGAAAAACATTGCAACAATTAATGTACTTAATTTGCATGACATGAAAAAATACATATTAATTATGCAATCTATGAAAACTGGTCTATCTAATTTGAATGATATGCAAATCAGACTGTCTGGGTTTCAAAACTGTAATATCAAATCTTGTGTATAATCCTCTGTAATAACTTATAAATATGAGTCCCACTGAAGGATGGTCAGGGGCTATGATATGATAAATTCCAGATTGTTCCCTAGTATGCCCAATGCTTACATTACAGTTTTCTGAAATGAATTTTCTCATTCACCCCAAATGCAGCAATCTATTGTATATATATTTTGTGTGAGAGTCCACATTTTATTATGCCATGCCTGGGAGACCACATCAAAATTTAGGAGCAAGTCAGAATAGCAGTCAGTACTTTGGTAATGAGTACTAAGAAGTGCACAAAGAATCAAGTAAATTTAAATAATATTTAGCCTGTTTTTGAAAAATTATTTATACTAGGTTAAATAGTTATGCTTTTTGTACGTTGGGAATTCACAGAATAATGGCCTTTTGCTTATTTTGCAGAAAGAGCTGAGCCTTCCAAGAAGGGGAAGTTTGTAAGTAACTGATGTTTCTTCCTTTCATTGTGTTCAGTGTATTTTGCATGAAGTTTGACTGTTCTTCAATATATCTTTCTTCTTTCAATGGCTGATAAAATGAAGGTTAAATGTGGCACTTGAATGTACACACACAAAAAGCTGGGATTGTAAACCAGTACACTGAGATCCTTGTGCTCTGTCTTTATTTCTAAGTGAACGACTTCCAAATTATGAATAAGGCCGTCAGAGAAAACAAACAAAACAGTTCACTGAGAATAATTACTACTTTCATTTCACATAAATATGGCATAAATTGTTAATATTTCTGTACATCATTATATCTGATTTGACTTCAATATTGGACTTTGTTATTGTGCAGCATACGTATGTATGCATGGTAAATAAAAATCAAAGTAAGTAAAATGAATATACAATATTGTAGGAAATAATTTATGAGATTAAATGAATTCTAAACATGGTTACCTAATGTAGTTTTTGCCCATTGAAAATATAGACGTATTTAGAGCTTGCAATAATTTATTTTTATTGGTTCATACAATTAATGAGTGTATGCAAATCTGCTGATACCTTATGGTTACTTGCACTATACAGTATAGGCCTATATGCTTTCACTTAATTACTCTAACAATACAACCACATATATGGTTATTCAAAATTACTTTATGTTGTGTTCAGTTTTGCCATTCCATCGTAAATGAGCATAGGCTGTGAACCTATGTGAATTTAAATAATTTTAGATCTGTGTTGCTCATCTGTATAAATCTGATTTTTTCTTAAGGACGCATAGGCAAAATTTACACTCTGCAGAGCAAAGATGCAATATAATAGTAATTGACATTTTCTGTAAAAGTTGCCCAGTAGAAAAGAACTACAGAACTGCTCAATGTACACCATCCAATTCCATTAAACTAACAATATTTAACCAGCAATTGAGTTTGGAGGAATGTTCACAGAATGTGAAATCTGATATCCCAGATTGGTTTAGATGCATTGTTTGTTATTTGTTGGAGTCTACTGTTTCTAAATTATTGTTGCTTGATTTAGAACTCACAGTTGTAGTACAGGTGGGATGCATTTTATTCTAGAAATCTGAGACTGCTTCTGATAAAATTACTTATTGCTGCAATGAAAAATCAGAACACCACATCTCTATATTCCCCTCTCGCCATCTTTCTCTCTATCACACAGAAACATTTACAAATACAGAAGAGGGGAGAAAAGAGAGTGTGTGTGGGGGGGAAAGAGACATACTTAGAAAGAAAACATGGGAGAAGGGCAAAAAAAAAAGAACACAGGGGACAGGTATATACAGAAGAGAAAGAGAGAAATATATTCTGTATCAACAGTCTTTTGATTGGGTTATGGCTGCCCCTTTCCACCTGTTTTCAGTTTGTTACTCCCCTTCCTTCAAATTAATTCTTGATTGCTCCTTGAGTATAGCAAAAATGGCATTGTAGGTGCTTCCATATAGCCTGTTGGAGCCCTTTGATACTGCATTGAATATTCTAGAATATTCTAGAAGCAGATATTTTTCAAGATAACCCAATCAAAAGACTGTAATTGCAATTATTTGTGTAAAAAATGAAATAATTAGCATTTTGTAAGTGAAATTCCTGAAGTGGAAATTACAGTGATATCATGTTGTCAAAAATCCAGGGGAGTACTGCAAAAAAGTAAGATACAAAATTTAATATTGTTCTGCATCTTTCCATATACACTTTTCCCTTCAACACACTGGGTTTAGGGGCACTGGACCCCCATGCAGTTCAAAATCCTTGTAAAACTCTTATGCCCCCCAAACCTAACTACAAAGCATAAACAGCTGATTCTCTCTCTCTCTCTCTCTCTCTCTCTCTCTCTCTCACACACACACACACACACACACACACACACACACACACACAGACACACACACACACACACACACACAGAGAGAGAGAGAGAGAGAGAGAGAGAGAGAGAGAGGACAGAAAAAGCCTCTATCAGAGTGGGAAAACAGAGGCATGATCTGTCCTCCTCCCCAATAGAGCAACATGACCCTATGATCTTCTTTGACCTGTGTCAGCCTCCTGGCATGCCCTAGCACCCTCAGTGGCTACCACATGGAGCATGGCGGGATCAGCCAGATAGGTACGTCTGAGACCCATGTTTCCCAGACCACTTCCTGGAGATGAATATCAGCATGGCATTAATTGAATGTATTTGGGGAAAAAATCTGTGCTCCTCAAATCCATGCAATTCAAGGGATATGTTTATTAGGAAAATGTATGTGTCAGCTAAGATATAGCAAAGCTTTTAAAAGTATTTTCTCTTAATAGTCACAATAAATACTTGCAATGAAAAATAGAATGTTATGAACTGAGGTCAGCAACTATTTTATGGATTGACCAGATTTTTCTCAAGAAATTAATGTAGTATTTTTTATATTTAACTGTTACAGATATTGAAAGGGATAATCACACTAAGAAAGTTGAAAGTTAAAAGCACTTTTTAGATACTGCAGTAAATGCAAGCTGTTGCTTTGTTTAACATTTAAGATAAGATGTTGTGAGTGTGTAAACTAAGTAATAAAAAATAAATATTTTAATAGCAGTCTGGAAAACTGTGATATTGCATTTATTTATCCAGTGACTAATTTTGATAAGGACTTTACCTTGAATTTACAGTTCCGTGCATAGTGGACAATAAACAATATTATGTGAAGAAATAACAAATAGCTTTGCTGTAGTTTTGGGATACAGCAGTTCCAGTATTGCTGGTTTCAATACTGTTTCAGACTTTCTTATCCATTACTGAATCCCATTTTAATAAAATTTGCTAAACTGTTATTCGGGGAGAAAATCTATGTAACCATTTTGTTCTATTTTCTTAATCAGTTTTTATTCATACAAAAGCTATGTTTGGCACATACTGATCATAAACCTTTTTATGTGTTGGTAGAAAAGTGAATGATACTATCAAATGAAGTAGTGAACAGAAGACACCAAATGTGTACAACTTAATCGGAATTGTTGAGGGTGTTTTTTCCCCTTAAGGCTTTTTCTGTCAGGTTTTCCAGAAGTTGATAAGGGTTTCTAATTGTCGTCTTTATCTGTGATTTTGAGCGTGGAATTATTGGATTACTTTCGGGAAGAAGAGATAAAGGTTGGAAATATAATGAAATCCTACTTACAACCAAACGGTACAAGAACAATTGGACAATAACATAATTTTTTATGCAAAAGTATTTTTCTATTGTCAATTGTGTTCATTTCTACAGGCTTGGTACAGCCAAGTTTAGAGAAGTCTGTGCTTGGAGCTAGCAGAGTTTTGTTTGAATCTATAGTACTGATCCTGCAGACCTAAGATAGTGTCTTAAGAAAACATTAATTAGTAGGAATGAAGTTGAAAGTCTCCTTTTACATATAGTTGTATGCATGTAGATGGGCTATTTCTTTCACAAAGTGCAAGAATAAAAGAGCAAGCAAGTGAAACACTGATTTCAGAATGCTTAGCCAAACAACAGATGAATTGCCTCTTGTTGCAGAGATTAGGTGATCTGTAATGTGTCTTTTAGGAAGCTAAAAATGCTTTAGTCCTTAAGAAATAAATGAGGAATCAATTAAAAGTAGTATTCCTTATGAGAGAGCCTATGGCATACTGGCTGCCATCTGATTTATTCGGTGGATGGGTTGCCTATTGGATGCTTGGTGACATATAGAAGAGTTTTAAGGAGAGCAATGCTACCTACTACTAAGCTTTCTGAAGTTTCCCTTAACATTTTTATCTGTATTGGTACACCTACACATTTTTGAGAAGAAGGACTATTAGGATTCTTTCCAGTTTTGAAGTTTAGTCCCACTGCTAACACTACTTCACATATAAAGAGAGTGAAAAGGCATTAACAAAACAAGGCTAAAAGTATACTAATATATTAAGTGTATTGTATTGTAGTTTGCTTGGTTGAGGGAATGAAAAATATTCCACTTTAGAGAAGTGAAAAGATGTGTACGGTGGTGCCTTGACCTATGAACTTACGACCATTTCGAGTTACGACCAGCTCCGGCCACAAAATTTTGCTTTGAATTGCGGCTTGAGCTTCCAAGTTACGAACAGAAAAAGGCAGGGGGAAAAGGTGGGAAATTCAAATTGCTAACTGTTGGTAGGCGAAGAGGCTGCTTCTTTGTAGCTCTTTCGTGCCCCAACAGTTAGAGTGAGTGCGATGGGAGGAGGCTTCGGTTTTGAAGCCTCCTCCTGGTGAGGTAAGGTGCTGCTTTCTGCTTTTTAAAAACTGTTCTGGGTGGGGTTTGCAGCATGGTTTTGGGCTGGGGGGTTATGTTTCTGTGCTGTGATGGGTCTTGGGGGGCTTGTTTGTTTTTTTTGTTTTGGTATTTTTCCCCCATTTCCAATGGGTCTTGAGGGATTTGTTTGCTTTTTGGGTTTTTTCCCCATTTCCGATGGGTCTTGGGGGGTTTGCTTGCTTTTTGCTTCCCCTTTTTTTGCATTTCCGAGGGATCTTGCATGTTTTGCTTGCTTTTTGCTTTGCTTTCTTCATTTCCGATGGATCTTGCACGCATCGGTTGCTTTTTGCTTTGGTTTTTTTGCCTTTCCGATGGGTCTTGCATGCTTTGCTTGTTTTTCTGGCTAGAACGGATTAATTGCATTTTCAATGGGTCTTGCAGTGATTTTTTTGGTTATTTTTTTCTTTGGGTAGAATGGATTAATTGCATTTCAATGGGAAATGGTGCTTCAGCTTACAACCATTTTGAGTTGCGACCGGAGTTCCGGAACCAATTAAGTTTGTAAGTCGAGGCACCACTGTATCAGAATGGCTAAAACTCTAGAAGTCCACCAGTGGTTTTGCTCTTGGAAGGATCAGATGAGGCTATGATTTATAGAAATAAAACCAATACGTTATAGCACATTGGAAATTTGTACCAACTGATTCAGAGACAGTGAATTAATTTAAAGAGATTTTCTTTAAAGGACATTAGGCAAAATGAAATGAATTAGGGTTT